GACTCGATCCAGCTGGCTGGGGTGCTGCAAATCAAGACGATCACGTACCCGGACGAAGCAATCGTGGAACGCCATCCGAAGGATTCCAGGTGCAACGGTGTCGTCGGCCTTGGTGGATTGAGCCATAGAGTTGTAGACGATGGCCTCCACTTGGGGACAGCTGTGACGATAGAACCCTACCTTGAGTCCAGTGTGAGCGGCAGCCGGGGTGATTGAATTCATGGCAAGGGCGATGGTTACGAAGATCGCCAGTAACGCCGGTGAGGGCCACCTCCCCATCGTACTGGTAAGATTCGGTTCACCGATGTGCTAGTAGGTGGTGGAAATATCTGTAGCACCTGCACCTGAAATATATTTGTGGTTACGAGGCGCTAGTCTTGGAGTGGGACGCGCCGGAGCTCGAAACTGGATTTGGGTGGGCGCTCTGCGTCGCACTTGGATCTCATCCAATATGGACGTGGTTCAGCGTCCTGCAAAAGCGCCAGGAATCGCGGATGATCAGTAGACGAATGGATACAAGACCGCTGATCCAGATGCAGGTCGAGGTCGAGGTCGAGGTCGATCGATTGGGAGCAGCGCGAGTTGTGGTGAGACTGGCACTGCCTCTGAAACGTATTTGTATGTGGTGTTCAGGAACTGGGCAAGTCGCAAGTTTGAGTACGAAGATGCAGGGAAAGAAGATGAGAGTCGCCTTGGCTGATGAAGCTTTGCGCGTCCGGATACGAGTGGCACTGCACAAGACCGCAACGACACGAGGAAGACTGGGAGTGTCCTATATCCGAGTTGACGTCGAGAACAGTACGGGCCGTCGAACGTGTACGGACCACAGAAACCCCTCGTGGCGTTCCAAGACTTTTCGGAGTGGGCTCAAGTCTGAAGAGGGGACAGTATTGACCGTGGGACGGAGAGAGCCGGTCGCCAGCACAACATCAGCGCACATGCTTACAAATCTAACCCACGCAAGATGGAGGCTCTAGCGAAACGAAACAGTTGACAACAGCAGCTGGACTTGGGCAATATGGCGGGACCGGTCACCATGGATGAGTGATCGAGCCTGGTATTGGAGTTGGGTGACCTTGCAACATCCGCCCCTGGAAGTGAGCAGTGATTCGGTCTCCGTGCAGCTGGCAACTGTTGACTCACCAACCGGTACCCGTCATCCTTGGCGGCCGAATTGTCTGTTCATATTTGTGGGTATTATTTTTTGAAGGTTGCTTCTATTCTTTGTAGTGTGTTTCCAATTCCCCAAGTTCATTCAAATACGGTTGAGATAGATCCTGTGAAGCAGGGGTGGGGAAGCGTGATGTTTCCGGGAAACTTTGTTGATGTAATCCGTGGTGCTTCCCGCATGGATCCCATCGTGCTTTGTTGAGCATGACGTTCACTTTGTTGCACTTTATGAGTGCGGTGGATTTCCCCCAGCAGTTGAGTTCAGTTATTCTATTCCTCGATTCGATTCTATCATGCACGTGAGATACGTATGGAAATTCATGAAAGTAGCGTTACCAGGTGGCGTGTATGTGTCCTGGTCAAAACATGCGCGTGCCGTAGTGAAATTGAGTTTGAAACTTTGAACCTTACAAGAATATTTGCATCTTTCATCATAAAGCACAATGAGGTAGTCAATCTTGAAAGCTGCAGCAGGACAAAATTACTATGAAACAATTGTATATAAAGAGTTTATGTTGAGGCCCCAAGAAAGGATGGACGTGATATGCACAGTGTGATTATTTCAAATATGGAATTGTTTTTGTAATAAGTAATAAAATGCATAATTTATACAAACTTTTACATTGCCAACATTGAGGTATTTATATCAAAGCTTTTGTACAAATGTGTTGGATTTGAAAGACGAAAACTATGTGAAAATTTATTTACTTCTGTTTATTACTTTCTTTGTAAGTGCAAAGGTTTTAACTTAGCATTTGAATTTAGTTTGCTTTAATCTTCAATTTGATTTGAAAATACATATGAGATTTGTATGAAAATTCTTGAAAGTAGCATTGTGGCGTGTATGTGTCATGGTCAATTTTTTTGTGTGATGTAATCAAGTTGAACTTGAATTTTTGAATCTTAAAAGAATTTTTGCTTCTTTGTAAATAAATAAACTTCAAATAAATTTCAAATAGTAAATAGTGTATATATTTAATATCAAACTAATTTGAGAGTGTATACATGTTTGAATAGTAGTACAAAACTTATATTCCAAGAATGCCATAAAAGTCTAATTAAATATCTAGAAGCACTTAAAGTCTTGGTCTGCGATATTATAAGTCATTTAAATGCAAACTTTGCTTTGGATGTAGTCAATTATACATCATCCATCATTACCTTGTTAATTATATTTTTAGTCTTATATTTTTAGTTTTAGATAAATTATAGTTTAAAAATTAATTCAAATTTTAATGTTGTTTTTTTGTTTATTTATTTTTTTATATATTTTTTTAAGTTTACTATTATTTATTTTATGTTTTTTTAAATTTTACTATTACTTATTTTATGTTTTTATTTTTTATATATATCTTTTATTTTTATTTTTTTTTCTTTCTTTTAATGACTATTTTTACTTTTTATATGAATAATAATTTTTATCTATTTGTGGTACTTAAGTAATTACTTTTTATAAATGTTATTGATTTTAATTAGTGTATGACTAGTATATTATTAGTTTTGCTATTATTTGATTGTATTGATAAATTGCTTGCTTTTTTAAAAACAATAAGAAGTGGACTTAAACTACAACATTAAATTACAAAAGAACAACCTTAGTAAGTATTATGTCTTAACTTGTGAGTCTAAAAATTGAAATTTTAGACAAAAGTAAAGAAGAAGTATGGCTTTAAAAAAAAAGTAGATTCCAAAGCATAGTTCTTCAAATAAATTTCAAATTTTAGACAAAATTAAGGAAAAGAATATGGCATAACAAGATTAATTGGTTTTCAAGTTTTAGCTAACTCTTTTTCTTCATTTAAAATTTCAAATATACTTAAAAAAAATACACAATTAGATTTTTTTGTCCTTTAAATAATTGCTTGGTTATTTCATTACTTTGTAGTATCATTAAATATTAAATATATGTAATTATATATATCAAAAAATTCTCCACTCTACTTTTTTAGATAAGATATCTTGATTGTGTTGATCATAAGTACTTCAATTTTTTGACATTTTTGAAAAGTGAAGTTGAATTAATGCCTAACATGTCTTCTTTTTGTTATTGAATCCATATTTGTAGAAAGTGATGAAATTCACAAAACATAATTAATTATTATAGGTTGCTCTACAAGTTACTTTCTTATTCACCCTATTTATATTTTGTGATATCTATGTATTACAATTTAAAAAACTACTTATAATTTTATTAATTTTTTTTAAAATTTCTTATTATAAAATAAAGTCTAAATAATAGATGATTTTGCTATTTTAAGATTAATAAAAGATCCTAAAATCTCAAATAGATCTCTCACCTTCATCAACTATAAAGGCTAATATAAGTAATCAAAATCTTCCAAAAAATATTTAATTGATTTAATGATGTTGCCTAAAGAACTATCTAATATTGTGCCTTTGAAATTATAAGAGGCTTCAATTCTTTTTAATCTTCAAAGTTTTAATGGATCTATAAATAAAGACCTATTAACTCATATAGAATAAAATATAAAATTACTAATTATTTATTTAGTAATCAACCATGGATATTATTGAATATGGTTATGAATAACTTTAACATATTTTGCATATGTACGGTATACATTCATATAGAGGAATCATTTACTACATTGAAACAATATCTAGCAACCTTCTTTTGTATATTTAAATATGTAATTGGCCAAAAATAAGCTCTTTTAACTTTGATAAATATTAAATAAGGTCTCTTAGAAGATATCATTTCTTATGTGAAGTGATTTTATGTATTATGTATCCAATATATTGATATCTTTTTAAATCAAGATACCACAAAATAATATTTTATCCAAACTTTTGTTATGCATTTTATAATTTTAGATATACAAAATAAGAGACTTAAGTACTTAGAAAGAATCATTCATACTTTCTTAAAAGTAGAAATTATTGATAAGAAAAATGATTGTATGCATAAAAAGATAAAAGAACCTATACCTACTTTTATGCATTTACAACATTGACATATTAAATTCTATCAACATTAAACTTTAAAATAATTTTAGCCATTTTTTCCTATTTTTTATAAGTAATATAATATCTTTAGCTATACAAACCTTACATGATTAAGTTATAAATAAGACTTTCAATGATATTAAATTAGAATCATTTAAAACTGAGATAAGACAAGAAAATGATGTGTTGGAAAACAAGATGATGAATTCTAAATCCTAAACTTGATTTCATCAAATATCAAAGTCTAACTATAGAGTTTAGATACCATAATTTGAAAATTTATGACTTTGAGTTGTAATGTACAATTTAGTGACAAACAAACCACACAACCAAATTTTTTTTATAATTTATATAACATATATGTTTAAAAAATAATAAATTCCAACCTCATAAACTTGCTCATTATTCAAAACAAATAATTCATAATTTTTCTTTAAATCAAAAGAATAATATGACACCTTCTCTTACTTACAAAAAGCCACATTGACTATATCAATGTTGGATCAAGAATGAAATTTTATACTCCAAATGTTAAAGAATTCTTTCTATATATTGTTATAAAAGATCCAATTAGGTCATTCTATTAAATCTTTCTTTATAAAACTAGCAACTATGTAAAAAACATATAAAGGGGTTAAATTTGTAGATCCTATTATTCCAATTTTCCATCAATTTTCCATTACAATCATTAAAGCAATGATCAAAATCATCAATCTTCAACCTTGAATGATTAAAATCTTTAATGTACTTATACTAACTTAGATTTGAATTATTTTTATATCATAGGTAGAAAAAAAAATTATTTATCTAAAAATATATTTTTTACTTTTTAATTTTTTATCTAATTATATAAAAATTTGATGAAGAGACTAAAATTTGATTTTTAGAGTATAATTGCTTGATTTTATTTTATTTTCTTGTATGTATTTTTCCTTCTTTATTTTCAGTTTTTTTTTTTTTTCTTTATATACCACCAACTAAAAAAAATCTTAATTAAGGCAATCTTGAAGTTCAAATCGAGTGTTGAATTTTATTCTCACATTCACCATTACCTAAAAATTGATACTACAAATCTTTTAAATTAATATATGTAATAAAATAAGATTGGATCAAAATTTATCTTTTGCACCATTTAGTCAAAAGATTAAGTTTTGGAAGCTTAAGCCTCCAAGTCAATATTTTTACTATTTTATTTAATTAATAAATTATTTAAATTGATATCTTTTCATTATTATCATTATTTATCAAAATAAATAACAATCTTTTTAATTTTTTATGATAATAGTGATATAAAAATAAATGCATTATTAAGTTATGATATATATATATATATATATTTTAACTATAAAACATGAATGTTTTACTCTTGAAAACAAACCAAACTTTCTCTAGTAACAAAAAAAATATATTATTTTTATTCACCCATATTCTTTTTGAATTAAAAATACATAATAGGACTCTTGGTTCTATTGAAGCTTCTCAATAGCAACATACCATTGTCAAAGAATTAATATCCTATGTGGCCAATAGTACGTAGATCTTCACAAAACTACTATCTTATTATTATCCAATTACACGCAAATGGATGTTTAAAATTAAACTCAAAAGCAACAAAAGAAATTGACAAATTCAAAGCATGGCTTATGGCTCAAGGATTCAATTAAGTTTTGGATCTTGATTATATTGGTATCGTCTCTTCAATTGTATAAATCGTAAGCAATTTACTGCGATGTGCGGTAAATTGCTTACGACAAGCAACGCAAAGCATGCCGATGCTGTGCACCGGAAAGAATGAGCACGTGGCAGTTGACGCTCACCATGTGCAATGAACTCGTCCTAATCTACTCTATGATACACGGATGCTCTCCATATCTGGGCGGCCTTGTTTCCTGGGCCCCCTTTCCTTTCTAGTGGCTGTTCACCTGGTCAAACTGTCGCCGAATTTCGCCGTCCAAACCTGTGAGCACCTCAATCTGGCTCATCTTCACCATCGCCTTGGCGAAGTTGCGGTAGAATGCCGCGCCGTTGTTGGCGTACACACCCCCGCTGGTGCGGGAGTCGTACAACAGGCTCTGGTCCGAGGTGAGCAGGCCTCTCCCGGCGATGATGTCCTTGAAGTACTGGCTGTCGAATGTGTGCGCGGTGGAATCCATGTCCACGCTGGTGGATTGGATTGCTGCATACGGGCACTGCCCCTTCAAGAACGTGGCGAAGCTGGGAGCCAGAGTTGGGTCCACCGGGGTTGTCTGAACGCGGTCGTCGAATGTGACGCACGGGGCTTTTCCGATGGTGTGGGCACCTGATAGGACTACCATTTGGGAGGGGCTCAAGCCCTTCCGCCCGAACACATCTATGAGTTGGGACACGGTCATGCTCGGGGCGGGCAGGTTCAGTGCTTCTTCCATGATGGAAACCGTTCCGTCTCGACGCCCAGCGGGCACATGCCACCCGTAACCTCCAGCCTGGACAACCACGCAGGTGCAATCCACATGTCAGAAACGGGAGCCTGATACTCGACCCCACAGGTTCAATGCGGGATCGGATGCGCTTCTGAATCGCTCATTCGATGCGCGATCGGGTGAAGTCGGGAACGATCAACCAGGCAGACATCCAACCTTCATCCACAGACACTACCAGGTTTGCGTTATGGGATGCTTGCTCACCAGTACAACTGCGTCACGGGCGGCGAACTGCAACACATCGGCGGCTGAGACTACGCCCGGGCAAGCGTTCTCCACAGCTCTTTTTGCGGCGTCGATGGCGTCAAAGCCATGGAGTCCCGTGTTGGTTCTAGCTCTTCGCTCTGTATTGGGTCCTTCTAGCAGAACGGAAGCGTCGCAGCCCTGAAGAAACCACAGAGACGGAACAATCCTGTGAGGAGATGTTGCGGTTACAGTGTGAAGCATCTGAAGCAGAAGCAGACAACTCGGGAAAACTGAATTTGAAATCCAGGTACTTCTCAGCGCAAGCTCTGCGACTCGATCCAGCTGGCTGGGGTGCTGCAAATCAAGACGATCACGTACCCGGACGAAGCAATCGTGGAACGCCATCCGAAGGATTCCAGGTGCAACGGTGTCGTCGGCCTTGGTGGATTGAGCCATAGAGTTGTAGACGATGGCCTCCACTTGGGGACAGCTGTGACGATAGAACCCTACCTTGAGTCCAGTGTGAGCGGCAGCCGGGGTGATTGAATTCATGGCAAGGGCGATGGTTACGAAGATCGCCAGTAACGCCGGTGAGGGCCACCTCCCCATCGTACTGGTAAGATTCGGTTCACCGATGTGCTAGTAGGTGGTGGAAATATCTGTAGCACCTGCACCTGAAATATATTTGTGGTTACGAGGCGCTAGTCTTGGAGTGGGACGCGCCGGAGCTCGAAACTGGATTTGGGTGGGCGCTCTGCGTCGCACTTGGATCTCATCCAATATGGACGTGGTTCAGCGTCCTGCAAAAGCGCCAGGAATCGCGGATGATCAGTAGACGAATGGATACAAGACCGCTGATCCAGATGCAGGTCGAGGTCGAGGTCGAGGTCGATCGATTGGGAGCAGCGCGAGTTGTGGTGAGACTGGCACTGCCTCTGAAACGTATTTGTATGTGGTGTTCAGGAACTGGGCAAGTCGCAAGTTTGAGTACGAAGATGCAGGGAAAGAAGATGAGAGTCGCCTTGGCTGATGAAGCTTTGCGCGTCCGGATACGAGTGGCACTGCACAAGACCGCAACGACACGAGGAAGACTGGGAGTGTCCTATATCCGAGTTGACGTCGAGAACAGTACGGGCCGTCGAACGTGTACGGACCACAGAAACCCCTCGTGGCGTTCCAAGACTTTTCGGAGTGGGCTCAAGTCTGAAGAGGGGACAGTATTGACCGTGGGACGGAGAGAGCCGGTCGCCAGCACAACATCAGCGCACATGCTTACAAATCTAACCCACGCAAGATGGAGGCTCTAGCGAAACGAAACAGTTGACAACAGCAGCTGGACTTGGGCAATATGGCGGGACCGGTCACCATGGATGAGTGATCGAGCCTGGTATTGGAGTTGGGTGACCTTGCAACATCCGCCCCTGGAAGTGAGCAGTGATTCGGTCTCCGTGCAGCTGGCAACTGTTGACTCACCAACCGGTACCCGTCATCCTTGGCGGCCGAATTGTCTGTTCATATTTGTGGGTATTATTTTTTGAAGGTTGCTTCTATTCTTTGTAGTGTGTTTCCAATTCCCCAAGTTCATTCAAATACGGTTGAGATAGATCCTGTGAAGCAGGGGTGGGGAAGCGTGATGTTTCCGGGAAACTTTGTTGATGTAATCCGTGGTGCTTCCCGCATGGATCCCATCGTGCTTTGTTGAGCATGACGTTCACTTTGTTGCACTTTATGAGTGCGGTGGATTTCCCCCAGCAGTTGAGTTCAGTTATTCTATTCCTCGATTCGATTCTATCATGCACGTGAGATACGTATGGAAATTCATGAAAGTAGCGTTACCAGGTGGCGTGTATGTGTCCTGGTCAAAACATGCGCGTGCCGTAGTGAAATGGAGTTTGAAGTTTTTGAGCTTACAAGGATATTTGCATATATTTTATAATGCACGTGAGGTAATCAACCCTGATAGCTGTACCAGAAAAACATTACTACGGAACATTTGTGTGTTTATATTGAGGCTTTTGATTTCAAGAAGGGATGGATGTGATATGCACGTGTGATTATTTCAAATATGGAATTGTTTTTGTAATAAGTAATAAAATGCATAATTTATACAAACTTTTACATTGCCAACATTGAGGTATTTATATCAAAGCTTTTGTACAAATGTGTTGGATTTGAAAGACGAAAACTATGTGAAAATTTATTTACTTCTGTTTATTACTTTCTTTGTAAGTGCAAAGGTTTTAACTTAGCATTTGAATTTAGTTTGCTTTAATCTTCAATTTGATTTGAAAATACATATGAGATTTGTATGAAAATTCTTGAAAGTAGCATTGTGGCGTGTATGTGTCATGGTCAATTTTTTTGTGTGATGTAATCAAGTTGAACTTGAATTTTTGAATCTTAAAAGAATTTTTGCTTCTTTGTATATAAATAAACTTCAAATAAATTTCAAATAGTAAATAGTGTATATATTTAATATCAAACTAATTTGAGAGTGTATACATGTTTGAATAGTAGTACAAAACTTATATTCCAAGAATGCCATAAAAGTCTAATTAAATATCTAGAAGCACTTGAAGTCTTGGTCTGCGATATTATAAGTCATTTAAATGCAAACTTTGCTTTGGATGTAGTCAATTATACATCATCCATCATTACCTTGTTAATTGTATTTTTAGTCTTATATTTTTAGTTTTAGATAAATTATAGTTTAAAAATTAATTCAAATTTTAATGTTGTTTTTTTGTTTATTTATTTTTTTATATATTTTTTTAAGTTTACTATTATTTATTTTACGTTTTTTTAAATTTTACTATTACTTATTTTATGTTTTTATTTTTTATATATATCTTTTATTTTTATTTTTTTTTCTTTCTTTTAATGACTATTTTTACTTTTTATATGAATAATAATTTTTATCTATTTGTGGTACTTAAGTAATTACTTTTTATAAATGTTATTGATTTTAATTAGTGTATGACTAGTATATTATTAGTTTTGCTATTATTTGATTGTATTGATAAATTGCTTGCTTTTTTAAAAACAATAAGAAGTGGACTTAAACTACAACATTAAATTACAAAAGAACAACCTTAGTAAGTATTATGTCTTAACTTGTGAGTCTAAAAATTGAAATTTTAGACAAAAGTAAAGAAGAAGTATGGCTTTAAAAAAAAAGTAGATTCCAAAGCATAGTTCTTCAAATAAATTTCAAATTTTAGACAAAATTAAGGAAAAGAATATGGCATAACAAGATTAATTGGTTTTCAAGTTTTAGCTAACTCTTTTTCTTCATTTAAAATTTCAAATATACTTAAAAAAAATACACAATTAGATTTTTTTGTCCTTTAAATAATTGCTTGGTTATTTCATTACTTTGTAGTATCATTAAATATTAAATATATGTAATTATATATATCAAAAAATTCTCCACTCTACTTTTTTAGATAAGATATCTTGATTGTGTTGATCATAAGTACTTCAATTTTTTGACATTTTTGAAAAGTGAAGTTGAATTAATGCCTAACATGTCTTCTTTTTGTTATTGAATCCATATTTGTAGAAAGTGATGAAATTCACAAAACATAATTAATTATTATAGGTTGCTCTACAAGTTACTTTCTTATTCACCCTATTTATATTTTGTGATATCTATGTATTACAATTTAAAAAACTACTTATAATTTTATTAATTTTTTTTAAAATTTCTTATTATAAAATAAAGTCTAAATAATAGATGATTTTGCTATTTTAAGATTAATAAAAGATCCTAAAATCTCAAATAGATCTCTCACCTTCATCAACTATAAAGGCTAATATAAGTAATCAAAATCTTCCAAAAAATATTTAATTGATTTAATGATGTTGCCTAAAGAACTATCTAATATTGTGCCTTTGAAATTATAAGAGGCTTCAATTCTTTTTAATCTTCAAAGTTTTAATGGATCTATAAATAAAGACCTATTAACTCATATAGAATAAAATATAAAATTACTAATTATTTATTTAGTAATCAACCATGGATATTATTGAATATGGTTATGAATAACTTTAACATATTTTGCATATGTATGGTATACATTCATATAGAGGAATCATTTACTACATTGAAACAATATCTAGCAACCTTCTTTTGTATATTTAAATATGTAATTGGCCAAAAATAAGCTCTTTTAACTTTGATAAATATTAAATAAGGTCTCTTAGAAGATATCATTTCTTATGTGAAGTGATTTTATGTATTATGTATCCAATATATTGATATCTTTTTAAATCAAGATACCACAAAATAATATTTTATCCAAACTTTTGTTATGCATTTTATAATTTTAGATATACAAAATAAGAGACTTAAGTACTTAGAAAGAATCATTCATACTTTCTTAAAAGTAGAAATTATTGATAAGAAAAATGATTGTATGCATAAAAAGATAAAAGAACCTATACCTACTTTTATGCATTTACAACATTGACATATTAAATTCTATCAACATTAAACTTTAAAATAATTTTAGCCATTTTTTCCTATTTTTTATAAGTAATATAATATCTTTAGCTATACAAACCTTACATGATTAAGTTATAAATAAGACTTTCAATGATATTAAATTGGAATCATTTAAAACTGAGATAAGACAAGAAAATGATGTGTTGGAAAACAAGATGATGAATTCTAAATCCTAAACTTGATTTCATCAAATATCAAAGTCTAACTATAGAGTTTAGATACCATAATTTGAAAATTTATGACTTTGAGTTGTAATGTACAATTTAGTGACAAACAAACCACACAACCAAATTTTTTTTATAATTTATATAACATATATGTTTAAAAAATAATAAATTCCAACCTCATAAACTTGCTCATTATTCAAAACAAATAATTCATAATTTTTCTTTAAATCAAAGGAATAATATGATACCTTCTCTTACTTACAAAAAGCCACATTGACTATATCAATGTTGGATCAAGAATGAAATTTTATACTCCAAATATTAAAGAATTCTTTCTATATATTGTTATAAAAGATCCAATTAGGTCATTCTATTAAATCTTTCTTTATAAAACTAGCAACTATGTAAAAAACATATAAAGGGGTTAAATTTGTAGATCCTATTATTCCAATTTTCCATCAATTTTCCATTACAATCATTAAAGCAATGATCAAAATCATCAATCTTCAACCTTGAATGATTAAAATCTTTAATGTACTTATACTAACTTAGATTTGAATTATTTTTATATCATAGGTAGAAAAAAAAATTATTTATCTAAAAATATATTTTTTACTTTTTAATTTTTTATCTAATTAGATAAAAATTTGATGAAGAGACTAAAATTTGATTTTTAGAGTATAATTGTTTGATTTTATTTTATTTTCTTGTATGTATTTTTCCTTCTTTATTTTCAGTTTTTTTTTTTTTTTCTTTATATACCACCAACTAAAAAAAATCTTAATTAAGGCAATCTTGAAGTTCAAATCGAGTGTTGAATTTTATTCTCACATTCACCATTACCTAAAAATTGATACTACAAATCTTTTAAATTAATATATGTAATAAAATAAGATTGGATCAAAATTTATCTTTTGCACCATTTAGTCAAAAGATTAAGTTTTGGAAGCTTAAGCCTCCAAGTCAATATTTTTACTATTT